CTTATCCGAAAATTGGGCTCCCGAAGCCTATAAATACAACCCTAGGGCATTCATTTATAGAGATCCGGAATTTTCGAGCCTTGGCGAAGCCCTGTCGGGGTGGAGATTGAAGGAGCACGAATTTTCAGAGAGGAGAAGAAGATCTCGGCGACTTATTTAGCATAAAGAGGAATAGTTTGAGAGATCTGCATCCGGTTCATCCGCTTCCCTCGAAATCGCACCTGCTTGTGATTCTCAAGAAGAGTGGGTATCTCATATTGCTGAGATATTCGCTTAGTTTCTTGTCTCCTTTGCGAGGCAACGAAACCGTTCTTTGGATCTGATCATTTGGTGGTTCACGGATAAACCCCAACACAGGCAAAGATCCCGCGCAAGCAGAAGACCGATAAACGATCTCTGTGCTTGTTCTCAGGAAATCTTTTTGTTTGTTTTCATTGTAAGGAAAGTCTTATAAAAAGACCTAATTTTTCTTCTATTTTGAATCTGTAATCGATAAACATGTAATGGATTCGAAAGCAATGAAACAGATTTTCGACTCGAACACTTATCAAATATGACAAATTTTTATTGATTTTGGTTTTATGTGATTTCACTTGATTTATGATTTCATATGAGTGATTTGTTTTCATTTGAAAACTTTTTTCATGATTCTCATGTTTTTTATTCTTTTAATTTCATAAATCTATTTATACATGGTGTTTATGATTGTGTATTGAGACACACTTTTTCATATTGATATATCTATATGTGCTCTCATAGTCTTGTTGTATGTGAGTTTTGCCTAGAATGATTTCATCTATGCTTGCTCACATGCTTGCCTTTGTATTCATTTCATACATTCATTAAGGCATTTTGATAGGGGGAGCTATTCCCTTTTATTTGTTTTTATACTTACCATGCTTATATGTAGGGGGAGCTTTCACTCTCTTCATTATTTTGTTTTTCCCTTTTTGATGTTGTCAAAGAGGGAGAAATATTATGAGTATTCTTGCTTGTTTTTATGCATGATAATCATAATTCATATATTCATTTCGTATTATGCATATCTCTTTTTGTAAATTGTTTGTTATCATCAAAAAGGGGGAGATTGTTGGCCTTTTTGTTTTGATGATATTTTAACAAATAATTTACAACTAATATTGTTTGTCTAGTGTTTGTGTTTTTGTATTTATTCTAGGCAAACAATACGTTGGAGGTTGGGTGGAATTGAGCTTACACGATAATATCCAATTGAGGTTGATGGAATATCGGAGTGAAGCATTGCACAATTCAAGTCAAGATCCAAGTTTAAGCTTCATCCGCAAGTTTACTAAGTTTAGCTACATCGAAGATCAAGATAGCTTGGGTAAATTAGTATAGGTTATATTATATGTGTTTAATACTCTAAGTTCAATATCATATACACACACATTTTATTCTTTTCTATGTATATATATAGTTATATATATACACATTTTGGTTTTATGGTTTTCTAGTTTAAATATGAAACTAATGAATATAGTTGGAAAATACATTATTGTTTCATATATTATTGTATTTGGAAAAATATTGAGTTATTGGTTTATGGACTTGATAATACTAGTTTATATCCTTTCCTAAGTCTATAAATCCATACAAAAGGTTTCAAAACCTTGTTTAAGTCAAAATATCAAAAACAAGTGTATTGACATTTCATATTTTGACCTAGTTTGCAAAATGATGAGTTTTCACAATTGGGAAGTGGAATTTAAAAAATTCTTTTTGTAACATGTTCATTTTCATATTTATAAATATGTCCCAAAGTTTCATAATTTTTAAATTTTATTTACTATTTTTAAAGAGGGTTTAAAGTTGGTTTTTTCTGTTTTAATCAGGCTAATATTGGGAGTAATTTTCAAAACAGACCCGTTTTGAAATTTATTCTAAAAAAACGACCTATTTCAAACTTAATTTTAAAAACCGACCCAGTTGACTGAAACTGGGTCGGTTTTTGAAAAAAAAAGCTTCACAAACTTTACGGGAGTTGAACTCCCGTGAAGTTTATTCTCATAACAAAACTTCATGGGAGTTCAACTCCCGTGAAGTTTATAAAGTTTTTTTCAAAAACCGACCCAGTTTCAGTCAACTGGGTCGGTTTTTGAAATTATATTTGAAATAGGTCGTTTTTTGGGAATAAATTTCAAAACCGATTGGTTTTGAAAATTTGTCCGGCTAATATTGTGTTATCAGTCGACTGATGTAAATGTTCAGTCGACTGAAAAATGGCTGGAATAGTCAAAACATTTATGTTTCTTATTCAGTCGACTGACCAGTCGACTGATGAGGTCATCAGTCGATCGACGAGATCGTCAGTCGACCGATGACCTGAAAACTGCCTGTAACGGTCTGCTCATCAGTCGACTGATTCATCTCATTAGTTGACCGACGGCTCATAACAGTTTGTATTGGTTTCCTATATATACCCCTTCATACCTTAGTTCTAAAATTAATAAAGAAAGTTTTTAAATAAGTTTAAAGTGTGTTTAAGTTTGTTTTAGTGTTTGTTTTAAGTTTGATTTTGTGAAGCAATTTTCACAAGGGCTAAAGGAGATCATCCATTGGTGTTTGAGCATTCAACTCTTCTCCTTCTCTCTCTTGTTATCTATAGAGAAGTTTCCTTAAACTCAATTCTAGCTATTTATTGTTTTTGATGTTAATTTCCATAAGCTAGACTTTATATTGAGTTTATAATTGTTTTACTTTTTGCTTACACACACAACCATTGAGCTTATTGTATTTTTATACATTGTATAATTTGGGTTGTGAGTTTGTGTAACTTAGAGTGTGAGCTTACACTTAGTTCTCATATTGGATTAGAGAACAATTTATTTATATTCGTGCTAAATTGTGAGATACACTTTGTAATATACTTGTACACCGAGAGGATTGTGTGATGAGAGACGGAGTTGTCCTAAGAGAAGTGGCGTCAGTAGTAAAGCCTAGAGAGAGGTTGTAAATCCGTACACTTGAGGGAGACACAGGATAGAGACCAACATTTAGAGAGTGTAGAATGGGATTGCAAGAGTGTTGATTGTAAAGTTTTCGGTGAGCTAGAAAACCGAGTGTGAAGTGTAAACGTTATTCGAGTGATCGTCGAAAACCCGGTTGTGTAGTGGATTCTCCCTGGGAGTGGGGAGCGGAGACGTAGGTCAGAATGATCGAACTCCGTGATCATCTTTGTGTGTTTGAGTTTGGTTTAGTGCACTTATATTTTGTTTATCCTTATCGCCATTCTCCCATTGTTTATTTTATCCACTATATTGTTTGTATTTATTTATAGTTTATTTGTTCTTAGTTTTTAATTGGCATAAAATCGGATTATATTAGCACAAACCCTATTCACCCCCTCTAGGGTTCTAACACACCCAAGCTAGAAGTCTTCATTTAGTTCAATCGGGGTATCGGAATGAAGCACAATATTGAGTCTTGACTTGAACACGCAAGCTTCGTATCATCCTAACCTCTTTGAATGTCATCATTATGCTTGATTTAGACTTGAATACATATAGGAGGAAAAACACAAATACTAGAAACAAGATTAGAAATTGTTTGTTGATCATCAAAAGAAGATTAGACAATATGCTCATAAACATGAGACCTAACAAGAATAACTAGTGTTGGCATTTTGGTAGTGGACTTTAGCCAACATTGACTTGCTCTCGGTGGGCCCCATGGCTTACACACGCCAACGAGCCCGTGGACCTAGGGCGATAAATGGTATCAGAGCAGTTAGCCAGCTGAAAATATGGAGCTAAGTGCTACACCGCGTGGATGCGGTGGAAGCCACCTCTAGAACCCGTAGGAGCAACCTCTAGAATCCACATCGCTTGACAAGTGATACCGGGATATGCTAATTAAAATAAAAACACTTTATTAACAGAAATTTATTCAAATAAAATAGATAATGAATTTAGTAATATTATGTGAGATCATTAAGATTTGAGGGACTAATTTCAAATATTTCTGACCAGCAAGCAACTTTTGGCCATATTTAACCATCGGGCGAACAAAGAAAATAACATTGGATCAAGGATAAAAACCAAAGTAGTGGAAGGGGTCAATAAGATTTTATTAAAATCCGGGTATCAAAATAATATTTTGTTGAATTTTGGGTATGAAAGTTAGGTTTTGATGAAACTCGAGCATCAAAATTAAATTTTGTTGAGCTTTAGATATCAAAGTTAATTTTTGTTGAACTTTAGGTTCTTTTTTTTGGACAATAGAGAACTTTGAGGTATCATCTCTGGGGATACTTCAAAGCAAAGAAAAACTTCATGGTACTAAAGTTAAAATAGGAAATAAATTTGGGTATCTAACTTTCACATAAAAGTTTGATAAAATTAAAGTTGTAGGCTAGAATTGTCAAAATATAATTTTTTGGATAGAAAGTAGAATGGAAAATTGGATGAGATTGCATGTTGCAAGAACAATAGACGAGTGATTTTCTGAAACCCAAATAAGTAACGATGACAATATAAAATAGAGCCTAATTTAAGCGGGTGGTTTCCAACCTTCGATGGGTTTGATGGGGGGCGAAATCGCCATTTCCCTCAATCCATTAGAGGACGAGAGCTACTTGCGCGTATGCGGATGATTCTGAGTGGATATGTAGTCTTTATCAAGTAGAGCGTACATTAAGTGTGGCTCCTCTGTAAATTAGAGCCACATAATTGACTGGTTTGAGAGGTGGGAGAGAGAGAGATGGAGGATTATGGATTGCCCTTGGGACTTATTGTTGACTAGATTAAATTGCGTCCCGTAGGCCATTTGAAACTTGCGTGGGGACAGGTATGGTAAACCCGTTCTTTAAACGGGTCGGATATCCTGACCCATTCCGGGTCAGGAACTTGCGTGGGGGAGTGGGGACAATATTATACATGAAATGACCGGACCCGTTTGCCACCCGACTCTGGTTCCTGAATAAATCGCAGCCGTCCGAGGATAGAAGACCGATCAGCAACTATACCCGTGTAAAGGTATTGGAGGTCGCAGCCGCCTCGGTTTCTTGGTCCCTCTCTAGGGTTAGGGTTAGGGTTTGGGTTTGGTGTCCCATCTGATCGATCCGCAATGGAGAGCAAAAGGGGGGAGGAGGAGGAGATGACAATCACTTTGAAGTGCTTGCCTGGGGGTGTTGAAGTGGTGCTGTCGCCAGAGAATGCCGAAGCAGTGGCTAAGGAGTCACTGAAGATATGGGAGATGATCAACAGCGGCGAGAAGGAGGCTGGATTCCGCGTGGGAGAGGGGGTCCTTCGTAAGGCGATGGAATACTGTTACGAGCACGGCCGGCGCAAGAGTTATACTCTTGTCGATTTCATGTACGGGGGCCAGTATTATCCTCCACACGAGCACCCGGCCGAGTATGAAGCGAATAAGGCCGTGGATGAGGGTCTGAGGGATTGGGATAATGATTTTATTCGTGGTTGCGACACGGAAACCGTCTTAGAGCTCATAACTGTAAGTACCGCCTCATTTTCTTTTGGGAAAATTTGCAAAATAGACCGTTTTTGCTAATTATTTGGCAAAATAGACCGTTTTGCTAAATAATTAGCAAAATAGACATCTTTTGAAAAAAGATCGATTTGAAAAACAAGTCTCAGAAAACATACGGGACTACTAGTCCCGTATGTTTAGAGCCAACTAATCACGGATTAGTGACTCAGAAAACATATGGGACTAGTAGTCCCGTATGTTTTCTGAGTTCATCTCAAAGTTTTATGAAATAATTAGCGTTTACTAATCCGTGATTAAAACATACAGGACTATTAGTCCCGTATGTTTTCTGAGCTGTTTTGCAAAATAGACCTCTTTTTGTCCTGTTGGTAAAAAAGAGGTTTATTTTGCTAATTATTTAGCAAAATGGTCTATTTTGCTAAATAATCAGCAAAACCGGTCTATTTTGCAAATTTTCTCTTTTCTTTTTCTTTCGGCTGCAAGCTACGCGGCCTACATTCAATTGTTAAGACTTGATCGCACTTAATTAGTTGTTTCTTCTTGAACTCGTGTCATCTGTCAAATCAAAATGATTTCTGTAGGGTGGTAAATCTGTACATTGCCCAAAAGGCAACTGCAACTTTTGATTATTTCTCGCACTTTGATTGTAGGTGGTGACCAAGGCTTATTGCCGAGGCTCACATCCTTGGCTCAATGTCATGGAATAATTAACTGTTACACATTAGCTTAGGCATATGGCTTGTTTCCTTTCACGATACAGATCTGAGCATGTACTGATTTACTGACATATCTGTCCTCCACCTCTATTGGAAAATTATACTTTCACTGCCCGGCGCCACCACCGGAAAAGTCCGACCACAGGTCGAGAAGCAGCACGGGTTCCTCACCCATGATGTTTTTGGTTGTTTCTGTTTGCAATTTTCAGTGTTGTAAATAGCGGCAAATAGCGGTGCTATAACGTCGCTATTCGCGGTCGCGGGGCTTCTCCTCCCCGTTTTAGGTGTCAGCGGTTTGGTTAAGCGGTAAAAAACTCTATCGGCTCGAATAGCGCGTAATAGCGCCTTTTATCGCTAAAAAGTGCTTAATAGCGCTAAACCCCGCTACAACTCCTAACAAAAATCTGCCCGAACTCGACCCGTACCCATTTCATTTAAACCCTCTCCCAAACCCAAAACCCAAGTGTGCCCTAGCCGCCTCTCTCCCGACTCCCGACTCCCGCCTCTCTCGTTCACCAACAGCGACGACTCGTCGACTTCCTCACCAACAGCCACTCCCGCCTCTCGCCTCTCTCGCCTCCGGTCAACACCGACTCCCTCATCAACAGCAACGACTTCCAGATTCGTGGACTGATCAAGTCGCCTCTGGTCAACACCGACTCTCTCACTTTCTCCGGCGACACTTCCCTTCGGCAGCAGCATCTCCTCTGTTATGCAGCGACTTCGTCTGCAACATAGAGAATAAGGAAAAAAACTAATAATTTGATTTCTGATGTTATATTTCTTCAATCTTCATTCATACAACAATCCCGAGCTGCATTTAGATAGCATTGTTGCATCTGTATAATTTCTCTACAAACACTGGGTTCTTGCTTGAAAGTTTATCACACTCATGCAAAAGAGATACATATATGTATGTGTGTGTATGCACACACTAATGTGTATGAGGTGGCGACTCATTTTGTTAAGTGAGCTATCATGAGATAGTGTGGTGAGATCCACAATTATTGATGTGACTAGCAAAGTGGGCCTCACCACATGGCTATCTCTTGGTAGCTCATTTAGCAAAATGAACCGTCATCTCATACACATTATTCCCATATATATATTGCATGTATGTTTGTGTGCATATCAATTTTTTATTTGGGAAGGTAATTTGGAAGATCAATGAACTACAACCGATGCAGTGTATGAGAAGAATCCTTTGGGGCTAGTTTCAGATTTATTTTTTCTAATTAAAGTTGTATGTCTATATTCACCCTCGTGAGAAATTAGGGCAACAATGTATTGTTGTTTGTGTAAACTGCACTTAAATATTCCTGAAATTTCTCTTAAATACCTAAGGTTTTTTAGATAAATACCCGACACATTTGCCGGTAAATAGTTAAGTACCAAATATTTTTGAACGGTTTCATGTTGCTACCTATGGTTTGTTGATTTTCAACAAATTCTAGTGATGTGTTTTTTTGTTGCCATGTCTTATTTTCATCCTTCCTTTACCCTTACACTTGATTTAATTTATGAAACATACCCTTTTCTTATATGATGCATGCGACATGTAATTTTTGTTCCTTCTTTACCCTTATGCTTGACTTAAATTAAAACTCTACCCTTATTTCATATGAATCTTTTTTCTCATATACTTTTGGTTCCTTGTTTACCATTACACTTGATTTAGCTTACATACTCTACCCTTATTTTGTATGAATCTTATTTCCCCCCAAAATTTGTTGTCTTCTTTACCCTCATAATTGGTTTAATTTAAAAAATATGCCCATATATATGTTATATGAAGCTTAATTCTCCATGAGTGTTTTTTGCTAGGAAAAATTTAATTCGCTTAAATTTTTTTGCGTAAAAATTTCTTGTTAAGAAAAAAATAATTTGATTAAATTTTTTTTTGCATAAATCTTTTTTGGAATAAATTTAATATTTCTTTTGCAGTAAAATCTAACAAGAAAACTTATTCACTATAACAAAATTTGTTAAAAAAAGTATGCACACTACTGAAAGTATGCATTTTTGTTGTGCAATAATATACTAGAAAATTTAATATACTAGAAAATTTAATTATGTATGATACCCATGCTTAGGGTTATAGAAAACATGCACAAGTGAAAGTACCCTAGAGGGTGGTGAATATGGTAAACAAAATAAATGTGCAACTAATGAAAAACAATTCGATCAAACACAAAATTTGACAATAAGCAAAAATATAAAGGAGAGGATAAGAGAGAGTTAGCCAGTCAAAGATAACGATATGTTCATGAGGTTCGGCCACTCTCGACCTACGTCCTTGACCTCCTCTTTCGATGGTAATCCCCTCAATCCGAATTAAAAGCCGGAACTTCTTACACAATGATCTTCTCAAGATCTAGTTCTCCACACAATACCTCACGGTACAAAGATGAAGATAACGATCTCTCTTACAAGAATCTTATGACAAGGATAAAGAGATAGACTATTGAAGCATTAGGATTGTGAGGATGTGAAAGTGAAAACCGAGAAGAGAAAAGCTTGAGAATGAGTAGAAAAATTTAGCTTAGAAATTTGACAATGAAATCTCAAGTTCACACATCGATAAAAAAAAAAAGTCTTGAGGACTATTTATAGCCTCTCAACCAAATCATCTTCAAATCAAATCAAATCTGTTTAAAATTGTTTTCAAATTATCAAATCAAATTAGCTTCAAATCAATTTACAATCAAATAGCCGTTACCAAAATAATACGGCCGGTCGACCGAACACGACCAGTCGACCGAACACGGCCAGTCGACCGATTGGTTGACTGCCTCAAAATTTGATAGTCACCGAAATTAAATTGTTTGAAATGGTTTTTGAAGAATTTGTCAAAACGAACTTTGAAGTGCGTGTATAGTCCTCTAATGCTTCAAAAGTTATCAAATTTATTTCTTGCCTACAATATGATCTAGACAGAAGTGAAATACAAATATTGCTTACAAATGTATATTATGCTTGAATATAGATATTTGCTAAATTTTGTTGTTAATGAAGCTCTTCTTGAGTATATACTTGAAAACTCTTCTTGAGTGGATATTTGCTTGAGTAGAGTTTTGAGCATTTAAGGCATCTTCATCAACTTGCCTCCACCTCCATGAATATCATCATTAAATTGCAAATCCATCCTTCTTTTCATGACACTATGTTGCTTGATAAACATATTCCGTGTCGGATCACTTGACAAGCAATTAGTACCAATAATGGGGTTTGAAATCATCATAAAAAACGAGACCGAGACCTAACAACAAGGACTAAACACATAGTTAAGCCAAACATTACTATTAATTAAAATATAGTATAGCCCTAAGATTACATCGAATCAGTCAATAGGAGGACGCAGCCTCTTACGAAAGTATGATAGTCGAGGTTATTAAGTATGAAGGTAGGAGCCATAGATGGTTTAAGGCGAACAAGTTGTTGAGAAAATAGTCCTTCAATGCATTGTATTCTGCCTGCTCCCTTGGCAAAGTGCTTGCCCACTCATAGCTCCTCTTTGCATGTTCCATACATCTTCATAGGTCCAAGTCCTGTCTACAGGACAGAAAGGGCAAACTAACTGCACTGTCCACAATGATGTGTTGCCTGCCTTGCGATTCCTCGACCTCGTAATTTTATAGATAACAAAATTGTCCACGTTGATATTATTCCCTTTTGTCTATAAACAATGAAAAGAAAAAAAAGAACTAAAAGTAAGGGAAAATAGAAAGCATTAAAATGGCAAAAATAAGAGAACTAAACTTAGGGAAAATTAGAAGTGTAACCTCACCAGGAGCTAGACTAATGTGATCATTTGAGAAATGAAGTGATCCATATCCGTAATCTTCAACATAATCACCAGAAAGTATAAAGTTTCAGAACGGAGAAGGACATGCTTTGAAATGTAACATATCATGATTACTGACGCAGATGATTTGGTGTAGATTGTGATAACTTTTCTTTGGTATTTATAGATTCTTCAATTGTTGGTTTAGTTTCAGGTACCTAAAATACTCATTACCTTCTCTGGTGCCTAAAAATTTGCAAGGTGAATTATAAATTGCAAGAACAATAACAACACAAATCATAGAAACTGAATAATCACAAACACAATATTTTATACTGGTTCCATCTCCCCGGAGTACATCCAGTCCCCAAGCAAATCCCGTTTGAGATTTTCACTATGATTTTGAAACCTTACAAAATCATAACAAATCTGTCCAATTGACAAGATCATGTCAATTGCAACCAATCTCTAAACCAAGAGATCTTCTCTCACACCCGAGAGAA